CTCCTAAATGAGATTTACGACTTATTTATTAATCTCAATTTTCGGATATTTGCTCACTAATTGTTTTATTATTTTATCCGTTATTCGTTTACAATTTTATATTTTTATAGTTTTTATACTTGTACATTTTTCTGGTATACTTAAGACAGTTTTTGGTGCTATACGATTATTTCCATAAATAATTATATGCTTTAGATTTTTGCATATATCTGATATCATATTTAGCGAACTATTATTAAGAAATCTTCAACCACAATCTTTAAATGATATTGTTATTATATCCTGGCATATATCTATAATTTCTTCTAAATAAAATTCATCCGAAATAAAATAACTATCTATCCTTTCAAATTCTATCTGTTTTATATATTTTATTATATTCGGTAATGGTTTCTTTTTTACTAATTCTACAAATTTCGTAATATTGTATCTATATAATGTAATTCTTCTTCATATTAAATATGTTGCACATTCATTTCATCATTTATTAACATATAAAACTGATGATAATAATTCATTAATAGTATATAATATATCATTTTGTGTTCATAAATGTTGAAATATTTCTATTATAATTTCATTTGGAAGATTTATATCAGATCTTTTTGGTCGTTTCCTTTTTACTGTCTGTAAAGCAGGATACTTTGTATCTAACTTTGTATTCTGTTCTTTATCTTGTATTTTTTCAAAATCCGGTAAACTATTTGTAATCAAATTTGGAATTTCTGGGTAAGGTGGTTTCCATGTAACAGATATATAATTTTTTATAATGCAAACTCCTCTTTTCTCAAATTTTAGCTCACCCATTTCTATACCTGTTTTGAGATTTACTTGTCCTGCTACTATAAATCCATCTGTATGAATGCACTTTACTTGATCTCCTAGTGGTCTCACAATTTTTAATATTCTTTTTCGTGCTGATGCTAATAGAAATGGTTTAATTCTTGAATGAGCTTCATAATTTTGACCATTTCTTTGTTCGCATAATGCTCCCCATAATAAAACTAATAATGCTTTACTTACTTTTTCTACTGTTCCACCTTCTTTCTTAATGTTGTATAGTATATTACTCCATTTTCCAAACATATCACTTCCAGTAATATGAGTATTTTTTTCATATATAAGTGCATTTGGTGATTCATTCATTAAATATATTTTTAGACTATTTTCTTTAGCATATTTTAAATCATAATATGTATAAATTCCATGTGAATTATATCATAAATATCATGTACATTGTAGATTTTTTTTAGTGGAGCTTCCTTCAATTGTTGCTTTATAAATACCATATGGAAATTTATTCCAACTTTTTGCTAATGACGGATTTATAGTATAAAATTTACCTGATGCAATTAGCTATGATGCCTCTTTCTTTAATATTTCATATATATACATCGAATTTACATCATATCGAATAGCTTCTCCTTCATATTTTTTTGCAAATATTAAAGTGCCTATTGACACTAAATCTATCCAAGCCTTCTTCTGTTCACTTATTTTCTCACTTCTTCTGGGTGCTAAAGTAGTTTCATTGAAAAGTTTTATAGATATTAATATATAATTTTCCGTTTTACGCATATTAATTCTATCATTAATTTTTTTAGAAATAGCTTCAGACTTATCAATAATTCTTGTGTATACTTCTATACTTGTTTCTCTATTATCTGCATTAATAAAATAATATTTATTATATAATGCATGAAAGTCGTCTTTAATACCATACCATTTTCTTTTTCCATTATAAAATTCAAACCCATTTGATATATTTTTAAAAATTAAGATATCTTTATTTTGCTTTGTAGTGAATTTTATCTCTGGGTCGACAGCCAGTTCTCTTGCCTCTCTTGGCTGATGTGTTGGTAGATTTTCATCAAATGATATGAGATTACCTTTTGGGATCGATACTGGATTTTCTACTGGGCTATAGCTAGATTTCCTATTGGAGCTTAAATAAAATTCTTAGGTCGACAAGAATTTTTCTGATTTAAATGTTGTTGATATTTCTGATAAGTGGAAAGATTTAGACCACATCTATCACAAGTAGTATTTTTAACTATCGTGTATAAAAAGTATTATTATTACTTTTATAAAATCCTAACTTTAATTAATTATTTATCCTAATCAAATATGATCAGTGAATATACCTGCCAATATATACATAATTCTGGTAAAAT